AAATTGTCACCGTCAGTCCTTGATTATTAGATACTATTTACCACATTTTTAAGGAAGCTTCATATTGAAGTGTGAAAATAATCCCAACCTTTAACAAAGGGGCGTGCCCATGGGGGAGCTGTGTTTTCTACTGCTCAGAAGTCACATGGGGTTTTGTTTTCTACAGCCCAGTTACTTTGTATCGAACACAGATGACATGGAAGCTGTGGCATTGTAGGGAGCCGTGGGAATTTACTATGCATGGAGGAGGACGAACATGAAGGCGGAGCTTGGAATGCTGGTGTGCCCAGGAGCTGCCCTCTATCCTTGCACACGTCCTGCCCATCCCTGGAACACTGTAGCTTATTCTCTACCCAGACACTCTCATACCAAGTTGCCACACATCTCTTTTATAGAAATGGTTTCCACTTTCCAAGGAATTTTCTACTCTGCACCCCATTTGTTGGCAAGAAAACATCCTAAAATGAAGATGCATTCCTGTGTGTACCATCCGCTGCTGCTGCTGCTGCTGCTGCTGCTTCTTCTTCTTCCTCTTCTCCTTCTTCTTCTTCTTCTCCTTCTCCTTCTCCTTCTCCTTCTTCTTCCTTCTTCTCCTCCTCCTCCTCCTCTTCTTCTTCTTTCTTCTTCTCCTCCTCCTCCTCCTCTTCCTCCTCCTCCTCCTCCTCCTCCTCTTCTTCTTCTTTCTTCTTCTTCTCCTCCTCCTCCTCTTCTTCTTCTTCTTCTTCTTCTTTCTTTCTTTCTTTCTTTCTTTCTTTCTTTCTTTCTTTCTTTCTTTTGGTTTTTTGGTTTCTCTGTGTATATCTCTGGCTGTCCTGGAACTCACTCTGTAGACCAGGCTGTCCTGGAACTCAGAAATCCACCTGCCTCTGCCTCCCAAGTCCTGGGATTAAAGGCATGTGCCACCACTGCCTGGCTGGTTGCTTCTTATAATGTCTCCTTTGTTTGGGGGGAAAAATGTCTTTCAACTCTCACTTCTTGAGCTCCTGCTTTGGCCACACACAGTAAGACCAGGATCTCCAGTGTTTTCCTTCCCAGGTTATAGGGTGCTTTCTCTCTCCATCCCTCTCTCTTCTTACCTGGTCCACATGCTCTACACACCTTTGCTCTTTTCGCCTCCGGAGGGACCAGGCGTGTGCTAGTCTTCCTCAGAAGCTGGTATGTACCCTTGAGTCACAGAATGCTCATTTTTTTTTTTTTTTTTTTTTGGTTTGATTTTTCGAGACAGGGTTTCTCTGTGTAGCCCTGGCTGTCCTGGAACTCACGCTGTAGACCAGGCTAGCCTCGAACTCTCGAACTCAGAAATCCGCCTCCCTCTGCCTCCCAAGTGCTGGGATTAAAGGCGTGCGCCACCAACGCCTGGCAGAATGCTCATTTTCTGACAGGTCTTCCCAGTCTGTGGTTGTCTGGAGAGAGAACACAGTACAGGGGCTCGAGACCAATCTGTGTCCTGCCTGGGGGTGAATTCACATCCGTTACTCTCTGGTTCTACTGTACAGCTAGTCACAAGTCCACTGCATTTTCTCCCACAATAGTCTATCAGTATTACAGCTATTGAAATAACATTAAATACTTTTCACAAAAAAAAATTTAGATTTGATATCTGGACATATGTAGATAAACCAACCGAGCAAAGAATGAACACCTTGCTTTATATTATTGAGTTCTGTTCCTTCAGCTGAAAAACAGAAAATTTAGTTAATAGAAAGAGTTCTTTTTCCCAAGGAAATAGTTCTCAAGGAAGGTTGCCCACAGAACTGGTTAATGCAGCAGCTTAACAGGATGATTAGAGAACGTGCATCTCCTCGTGTTTATCTACATCATGCTTAGCCTGACAGCTGGGTCCCTCGTGGCTCCAGGATAGCTGTGCAGCTCTAAAAATCATGTTGGCATCCAGAGACAGACGAGCCCCTTCCTCTGTTTTGACTCTCTTTTATTCTCTCACCCCGTGAATGGAATTGGTATCCAATGGGCTGTTTTTCCTTCCAGCCCTAAGCTCCTGGAATAATGACTCAGACTCAAAAAATATTTACAAATACCTAGGCCATATAGTTAGGCTTGTTCCCTGACTAGCTAATAACTTAACATAACCCATTAATACGAATCCACATTCTGTCACATGGCTGGTTACCTCTGCTCAGGTACCATGCATCTGTCCTCCTCAATACTCCCCAGAGACCCCTTCCATGTCTAGTTCTATCCCAGAATTCTTTCTGTCTTTTGGATGTCCCACCTTCCAATCTACTCTTTCTTATAGACCATAGTTTTTAATTGACAGGTGATGTATCCATACAACACACACAATACTCAATACTCTCTCTATGTGTAATGGCTTCTCTTCAATATATTCCTCCTATGTCAGTGCCCTCACTTGGCTTCCCTACATCATTAGTCATGAATCTCCTTCTGCCTGTTCCTCCTGCTTGAGATGATTGAGTTCCCCCTTTCCCTCTTAAGTTTCCTGAGCTGGGGGACACAGGCATGTGAAGGCATGGCCAACCAGTTGGCCAATCTGCTTTCTTCTAATTTCCATGAGGCTTTACCTGGTTGTTTCTGAGGCATCACCTCCTCAGTCCTCAGCACTCATTCTGTCTTAAGGGGAGGAAGATTGCACTGTAAGCCAATATCCCTCCCCCTTCTTAATGTGTGGTACTCACTGCAGATGTGCCCTGACAAATTCCAGGGCAGGCCTGACATCCAGAGAGGGACTGGAAACACTGAAGTCTTCACAGCAGTTGCCTGGGTAGTAGTATCCCTGTGCAGAACAGCTCTATGCCTTTCAGTGGGTTCCAGCTACTGAACTCCTTCTCCAGGTGACATGGCCTTTGGCAAAGTGCTAAAGCCACAGGAAGTGAGCCTGGTTCTAGGTGGACAGAGCTGATGCCGGAATGTTTTCCTCAGCTTGAGGCATTCTTGTCTTCTCCCTAAATCTCACTTTGGCTATTCCAGCTGAGCACTCTTGGCTGTGCTTGGCCGTTGCTGCAGCCCTCCACCCTAGCTTTGGAACGTAGCTTCCCTTGCTTGCTTTTGAGCTTCATTTCCAGTGTTTTGGAGACTTTCTGGCTGGCCAGAGTTTTTTTTATTAAATTGCAAGCGATCTCAGAAGTGATGAGCTTCTGAACCTAGTTGACATGGCTCAGGAGGGTCCCTAAATATAGAAAAAGAGCCAAGATCAGTTTCTTGGGGGTGAAAGCAGAGTGATCAGAGAGACCACTAACTAATGTGAGCCAGAGGGCTCTGCCCTCACCTCTCCAAGGCCTTTCCAATTCAGGAGTCCCAGGAACCAATCCTCCGTAGAAGTTTATGACTAGGTACTCTAATTGCTAAAGTCTCCTTGAGGAAGGACCAGGCCCTGCCCTCAGGCAATGTAAAATAATAAACATTCCAAGAATAACTGAAAAGCCTTGCTTAGAGGAAGTAATCTTAGCCCACCCTCCTGATTTTATCCTCAGAAGGCCCCTCAGGGAACTCAGGCATCACAGAGAGATACTGTGGTCAAGTCATAAGTCACAAGCCAGTGTATACTGCCTCAGCTGAAACTGCAAACCCTTACACTGCAGGCAGCCTATCTCTGCAGGCAGCCCCAAGCCAGTAGGATAGCACTCCCTAAAAGCCCTCTCTAGATGGGACTGACTCCTGATCCAGGTGAAATTAGCTCTTTGATGTCTTCCATGACACGGTGGGTTCCCCAGCATGTTGGATCTTCTGATTCCTGTGTCTTTTATGACTACCCCTAGTCTGGGTGGGAAAGTGTTGAGAACTGCCTGGTGGGCTGCATTTCGTGCAGGAGAGGCAATCTTATTTTCTCCAGAGTGGCCACAGATGCAGAAGTCAGGCCAAGGGAACTGTGCTTAGGTACCCTCACGGGCCTGCTTCTCTTCTCTAATCTGTTTCTACTCTGCCACGGGCGTAGGACTTTATTAACCGCAGCCTTTGTGTGTGTGTGTGTGTGTGTGTGTGTGTGTGTGTCTAGGAAGGATCATTTGTACTTAGGTTAAAGCAAGCTCTGATTGCTCCCTCAGATTGGGACTCAGGATGTTCCTGCTGCTGGCCCTGATAAGTCATCTGTGTGGATAATTGTCTATAAATGGAGCCGGAGGTCACAGAGAGCGGATGTGAGCCTTTGTTCTCAGCTGCTGGCCCCGACCACGTGAGGCGTCCTCACCGAGAGGAGAAAGGCCGCTGACACTGCGAAGCAGGCGGGGTCGTCTCCCAGTGGTTCCCCAATAAGCAAAGAATTGCAGGGACGAGCTGTAGGACTGACCCCAGTGTAGCGCTTTGTGGGTGCTTTTTTCTAGCTTGCTAGGTCATTACAGTTTTGCTCTGCGAAGAAATGCAAGATGCTAAGCGTGGAGTCTAAGTAGACAGAGGTGTTCGGAGAAGAACTCAACAGCTCGGACAGATGAGGCCGGGAGACAGGACAGGAGCAGCACGCCTCAGCCAGGAGCGGCTGATTAGGCACACAACGGACGTGGGCGCTGATTGGCGGCCGTGGCAGTGGGCGGGGCGATAATGCACCCACTGTTCTCTGAGGGCAGGAGTAGTAGGAGAGGGAGGAGTAGGCAACGGCACTGATTGGAAGGGGTGACGGGGACAACGCCCCTGGGCAGGATGGCTGGTGATGATTGGAGACTATGGTGTTGGGCGGGGTGAAGGTGGGGCTATCCGAAGTGGGTTTTCCGACTGAAGGTGGAAAAAAGAGCTACTGCTGCGGGCACTGATTGGTGGGTGGGCGTGTAGGCGTGGCAGAGAGGCACACTCTGGTTGGTCGCAACGACGCTGGGTGTAGTCTATGGGCGGGGCATGCTGCCGGGAGCTGGTACTCCTGGCCGGAGGCAAAGGCGCCGCGGGAGTGATCCTGGGGCCCGGGCCCGGTGGCCGGCGCGGCCTGCCCTTTGTGCTTACAGCCCGCATCCGCGCCTAGGGCCGCCGCGTCGGGCTCCCCGGCGCGCGTGCCCGCCAGCGCGCTGCCTAGCCTGGGATGTGCCGGGGATGCGCGCCCACCGGCCCTGCGGCTCCTGGCAGCTGGGCGCGGGGCGATGGAACTGAACATGAAGAAGTTCACGGTGCGCAGGTTCTTCTCCGTGTACCTGCGCAAGAAGTCGCGCTCCAAGAGCTCCAGTCTGAGTCGCTTCGAGGTAAAGGCCCTTCGCGGGAACGCGCAGGATGCGGGTTCCCGCTGCTCCTGGAGTGGGCATGTAGAGCCCCAGGGCGTGCGGCTACAGTCCGGTGCATCATCACCCCAGACCCGAGCCAGCTGTGGGAAGTTATTTGAAAACTGGTCTAGTTGTCATGAAAATCTATCAAATCGACTCCAAGTGTTAGCACTTTATAACAACTGCACAGAGCGAGTCCTTGCTGCGATTGAAGTTAACCTCAGTGAATTTCTCTCTAGTGCCCCTGTGTGCACAGGATTCGGGGTCACTCCCTAGAAAGGCTTTAGAGGAGGGGTGCGGTCAGTTCAGCTGGGTTGCCGCGTGGTGTGGTATTGCTCTGGGAGGCTCCACATGAATCCCAAGTTTTGTAGCCTCAGGCGCCTGCCGGTCCTGCCTTGGGTCTGGCTGTGTGGATCAGGGTATTTGAGATCAGTGTAGAGCTGACCAAAGCAAGTCGGGAGGACTCTGCACTCTGGCGCTCCTAGGTGATGGAGTGCCTGACGCAATTCCCCGGAGCCTGGGCTTTGAGATAGATTGGCTCTGAAACCCGAGGGATGCCGGAAAATCTTGACCTTTGCAGTTCCCACATCTTCCGTGTCCGGTCGTCTTTGATTTTAACGATGGCTTTCATTTCTAACTAGCAACTAAACTCTATCCCATCCCAGTGCTCAGACCATGTTGTTGAGTCCATAGATGGCAAAGCTGTAACCCGCCTAAGTGAAGTGTGTGAGAGAAAAGTTGACAACTGACCTAGAGGTTTCACGGAACATTGATGTCCCTGCTTCAGCGCAGGCCTATATGGAAGTGTGTGTGTGTGTGTGTTTTCTCCAATGTGTGGTTAGGAACAATATCACAGATTTCATGTTGAATTTCTTTGTCTCAGCCGTAGTATGTTACACACAGGTGAAAGTCTCTGTGATGATCAAGAGACCTTTTAAGACCAGGGAGTTGCTTGTTTGAAAAAGTTTCTGTTGCTAAATTCCAGCTCAGAATTGAAGAGAGTAGAGCGGTTCTCAGAGAGCAAATCACCGATTTTGGACAAAGACAATTATTGGTCTGGTAATGAGGAGGGGTATTTAAAATTAATGATGAGAGAAATTGAGCAAAAAAAGTTCATTTTTTTCCCCCGAGATTCTGCAAAAATCTAGCTAACAAAAACAAAAATTAGAGAAGTATTACCTTCCCACCAGATGTGTTTTTATCTATTTCCTCACAACACTAAGTTTGTTATGCTGTTCCTTGTCTCTGAGTTGTTGATCTTGCTCCTTCACTGCTGTGAGCAAACCCTAGGTGCCATTTATAGAGGAGTTGGAGGGACCTGAGTGTTACAGAAGCCTGTGTGCTGATTCAGCAAGAGAACTGGACTGAGCTATGGAAAGGCCTCAAATACAGTGGTGGACAAGGTGCGCGTATGTTGGGGGCAGTAAAAGTAACTCTGTGTGTGTGTGTGTGTGTGTGTGTGTATGTATGACAATGCTAAGACCTGTATATGTGTGTGAATAACATTCCTAAGACCTGTGTATGTGTGTGTGTAAATAATATTCCTAAGATCTGTATGTGTGTGTGTGTGTGAATAACATTCCTAAGACCTGTGTGTGTATGTGAATGACATTCCTAAGACCTGTGTGTTAATAACATTCCTAAGACACCTATGCAAACCTGTAGATATGCAGAAGGTCAAACTGATGAAAAAGGGGGCAGAGAGCTGGCCCACCAAGTGAAGGTGCTTGCTGCCAAGCTGAACAACCTGGGTTCAATCCCCAGGGACTCACATGGTAAAAGGAGAAAACCGAATCCCACAAGTTGTCCTCTGATCTTCGTATATAGCAGTGTGTTGCAGTTGTGTACACACACACACACACACACACACACACACACACACACAATTTTGAAAGGCTCAGAAAGCAGTGGATTCCCTCACTAAGTTGAGTGCCCCCTGTGGTGTGTGTGATGCTGTTCTAGGTGCTGATGCACAGACAGGTGGTTATGGGATCAGCTCAGATGCATAGATGGGTGCTGTACAAATGCCCCCCTCAGTTTTCTACCATTTGATGTCTGTGAAAACCCACTTAGCATGCGCTGCTGTCCTTAGTCTATTTAACATGGGGGAAGACCCTGAGCAATGAAGGGTCTGTTAAAAGCTTCCCCATCTTTCTGTAGTCATTTGTTAAGAACCTGTGTGGGTTCAGGCTGGTTTTGGACAATGCAGATTGTAAATAATGCCAAAGAGGTTCTGGCCTCGGGGCACCCCGCTCAGCCAGGACCACACATAGCTGGCTCTGTACGCTCATCCTGTAAGTTTCAGACAGTTTCACATTTCTCCAGGTACCTTTCCATTCCTTGGTAGATAGATAGCTGCTTATGGACCAAAGAAGAGTCCATCCAAAAAATGTAAAACTCAGCTGGAAGGTCTGTCAGAATTTTGAGGTTGAGAGATGGTTCATAAAGTATTGAACACTGTCGTGCTTTTCTTTATTGGGACAAATAAAAAAGGCAACTCACTGTACAGAAATTCTTCGTCGTTCTTTGAAAATTGTTCTTAGGCTACACAGAAAAACTATACATCTTTGTTTTTGCAACTTGAAGCCTAACGGTATAAATAGAAAATCAACAGCAAGTTTGGAGCAGTATTATCTTTGTTAAAAATGACTTAACATGTAGTTTAAAATTGATTTTAGTTTTAGAACATGGGCTGTGGGACCAAGTTACCTAATCATGTATGGAAGCATGTTGTGAATTTCAGTTTAAAATAAATCTCATTTAAATATTTTTGTCTTATATTGGTATTGACCTAGGTGATCTGGCCAGGTGGTCCACTCGGGCACATACGTTTCAGAGACTTTTGAAGGGAATCTGGGAGCCTTGTATAGCCTTTGTGGCGTGCCCGGAGGGCACAGGAGTGAGTTGTTACCATTACCTCATTCCAGGGTCTAGCTACAGATGAGGAAGTAGAGTCTAAGGAGGCCCCATCTCCTGTGTTGGTCTAAAGAATATCCCTCATGTAGGAGCAGGGGACTGTTGTTCTCAGTTTTAGCCATTTCTGGCTCTGTAGCCATTGATGTATTCAGGCACGCAGGAAGCCATTGCCACTGTAAAAAGGTAATTACTCTACAAAATATTTTGGAATGTGCTTCATAGCCTATTTTTTTTTTCTCTGGAAAACCTTTTCTGGAAGCTAGACAATTCTAAGTGGATCTGACACGTGCACTCAATTAAATTCACACTTCTCCTTTGACTAGAGAGGCTATTAACCTCTGTAAGCCTCTTCTTTCTCAACCACAAGACAGAAAAGATAGATACTGTTGGGGTTAGGGAGTGATTGTATGGAAAGACAAACCAGAGTCTGGGTGATCAAACTTCCCAGTCACTGTTAGCTGTTGATACTGATAAAGTGTACCTGGGTTTATCAATGGCTTTCATATCACCCAGTGTCTATCGACTGCACGGCTAGTGTTGTCCCCGAGATACAGGCAGGCCTTGCTTGGTAACCAAAAGCTCCCATGCCCTTCCTGCCTGGCAGGGGGAAGGTCAGCTGCCCACAGGATAGGATGGCCATGTTTGCTCAGATGGAGTTTCCACTTCCTGGCTGGAGTAACTGTGCTCCTCTTATCGCCGGTGTCTGCCCGTGAGTCAGCTGCACTTATCCATGGATCCATTTCCCACGTGGGTTGCTTTGCCCTGAGCTAGAGTGGCCATTAAAGCACAGAGATGTTTCAGTGTCCCTTTTCACCTCAGAGCTGGGCAGGAAGGTATCTGAAGCCCCAGTGGAGACCCCAAAGGTGTGATCCTGGTGTATACACCCAGTTTATAGTCTCTCCAGGGGCAGTAAAGGTTTCTAATTAATGTAAAATGATTGATTTGCTAAAAGTCCGGATCTCACCTGTTGACTAAAGGTATGGATATGCAGAGTCAGCTTGCTTGTGGAATAGCCCGTCTCTTGGTGTTACCGAGACCAGGGAGATCTCTGATCTGTTATTTCAGCCATTTTAACCAAAACTGAGATTTCTGTCAAATGATAGTCTGTGAGAAACAAGGAGAGGAAAACAAATGGGATTTGTGGTGGTGATAAACTTCAGGATCCTGTTTATTTATTTTCCCCATCGTTTAGTTTTGAGAAAAATCTTAGTATGTGTCACATGTTCTGAGCTAAACAATTAGGATATAAAACTATTGTCTTTGCCTCAAAGGAACTTAGTATCTAGAGACAGTGGCCAAGAAATCAACAGAAACCTGTTCTTGGGGTGTAAGTCATGTGAATTTCAATGAACGGACTTAGGTGGTTTACTTAGATCAGTTGCTGGTTTGTTATCAAAGGTTGTCTGTGTTCATAGGACTGTATCTTCATCGCTCAACTCTTTAAGAAAAACATGGTGTCCCAATCACGTAAATATTAAGAAGGGAGCTGGCGTAAATGTCAGGCAGGCCTCCAGCTGCGGTTAGAAACAGTTCTTATTCTTGGTGATCAATAGATAAGTACATAAGTTCTTCTAGTTCAGATAGTTTCAAAGAAAATAAGTTTTTTTTTTCTTTTTGGTTTTTGGAGACAGGGTTTCTCTGTGTAGCCCTGGCTGTCCTGGAACTCACTCTGTAGACCAGGCTGGCCTCGAACTCAGAAATCCACCTGCCTCAGCCTCCCAAGTGCTGGGATTGAAGGCGTGCACCACCACTGCCCGGCTAGGAAAATAATTTTTAATTAAAATAATTTTTAAGTACTCACAGTAAATACCCAAGAAATTCTGTTAATACTTGAGTATTAGGTTTTGACAACCAGGAAGAAGACAGACAGACAGACAGACCAGCAGGCCACAAATAAGAGTGGCCATGTTAGTAAAGGTCATTTGCCCATTTATCCTTTACTGTGTTTCCTAGACACAACAGCTAATTCTTTCCCTGTGCTCACTGTGCCTGGAATGCGCCCTATCTTTGTAGGTTTCTCCCCTCCACATACTTACTTTCTTGACATTAAAGAAATTTATCAGAAT